CGCCGCGGCATACTGAGTCTGCTTTGCGTGTTATTATCATAGGGTATATTAATGGCAAATTAGAAATAATTATTAGCGTTACAATTATTTTAAATGACTTGCCTTTATTTTAAAATAGAATCCTTTTAAAAGATACTGAATGTCTAAAATCAGACCAAATTTTAAAAATTGCCTGTACATAAAAAGCTATATATTAGGGTGCTTAATTTTAGAGCGACATTTTTTTTCAAAGTCCCACCTAAAAATCTTGTAACCGGTCAGAAAACAAACATTTTGAGCTATTACAAAGCTCTTAATCTTTATTTAAAGCCGTTGCTATTCAATTTTTAATAATTTTCCTTTAAAAAACATTAAAAAACATTGTTTTATTCTTTTCTCCTTCCGCTCGTAAAGTAAGAATATTTTTTTCCAATTTCGGTTCTAAAATCTTTATACAGGATGAAATTATCTTCAAAAATGTCTATTTAAGCAAGTCTGTAAGTTGAATATGTTCTTCAAAAATTGCCGTTCTACTCGAAAATCTTCTAAAACAGTAGTACATCGTATTTAGAAACTATTGATTTTAGATCAAAAAAGTAAATGACAATTTTGTAGGAAAATTTTTCTTTATCACTTATAGTTTAGCCTGTACAGCCACTCAAAGTGTCAAATTCCTAAAAATTCAGTAATTATACTATTAGAGTTACGTGAAAGAGTATCTGTACAAGCTAAACTATAAGTGATACATAAAAATATTTCTTAACAAATTTGTAGGGCATAAAATTCCCTACAAAATTGTTATTTACGTTTTTTATCTACAATCAATACATTTGTCTCCAAATACGATTAACTGCTATTTTAGAAGATTTTCGAGTAGAACGGCAATTTGTGAAGAACATATTCAATTTACAGACTTGCTTAAATAGACATTTTTGAAGAAAATTTCATCCTGAATAAAGATTTTAGAACCGAAATTCGAAATAGTACATTCTGTAACAAGTTTGGAATACAGCATATTCCGCTCGAGGAAAAATTTGACACACGAGCCGAAGGCGAGTGTGACGGTTTTACGAGAGTGGAATATGCTATTCCAAACGTGTTTCAGACATTATTTTCTCTACGACTACGTTAGAATAGTAACGCTTATATAATTTTAAACAGAGAAAAGAAACCAAGCAGTTTTTGACATTTACGTTCTTCTTCTTCTTCTTTGGTTTATTGGCCTTTAAGTTTTTTGTATTGTCAAACCATTTTGTGCCGTCACAATTTTATAATGTAAATTATAATAAATTTAAACAAATGGTATGCCTAAATCTTTATTATAATTAAAAATAGTTATTTACACTAACTAATAAAAAATAACATTATAACAAATACAAAACTAATTTTACAAGTAATCTGTGTCAACATCTATTCTTTTTCTACATTTTAAAGGTCTTTTTTAAACTTTTTGAATCTGTCAAAACTTCAAAGTCGGTATAGTAGGTAACTGGTTTATCATTTTAATATCAAATTTATTAAAATTTTGATTTGTATATTTGAAAAACAATAAATATAACTAATTTTTTGTGCCTAAACCTTAATTATACAACTGCTATTATTTTTTAATTAATAAATAATACAGTAATATTTAAATATTTTAAAAAATTTTACGTTTAGTAAACAGCCAAGAGATGTCGTTACTTGTGACCATTCTTAAACAAGAGTAGGAATATTCTCGCACAGTATTGCAGAAAAACATCCTTTCTGTGATCAAAAATTACACTAGAATGTTACTCATAAAAATAACACTGTTATTTCTATGATGTTACTATTCTTAAGTAGTCGTAGAGAAAAAATATTCTTACTGTACGAGCGGAAGGAGAAAATAATAAAACATTGTTTATAATGGTTTTTAAAGGAAAATATTTCAAAATTGTATATCAGCGGCTTAAACTAAAGATTAAGAGCTTTCTAATAGCTCAAAATTTTTGTTTTCTGACCGGTTACAAGATTTTCAGGTGGGACTAATGTCGCTCTAAAATTATGCACCCTACTATGTATATTATTTATTAAATTATAAAAAATTGTTAAATGCAAAAAAATGATACCCTAAAAATTTTTTTAGTTTGCCCAAAATAGACTTCAGGCGTAACACCCAGAAATTTTTTTGCCAGCAGCTTTTCCCTTATAAGGGCCCCTACCAGATATTTGATACGGGGCCCCCTCGAGGCTAGCTACGCCACTGAGACACATACTGAGTGTGTAAGCCCTATCAAGAGCAAAGAAATACTCTTTTGGTCTTGAAGATGCAAATGACAAAAATCCAATTACATAATATGAATTTATCGGAGGCGTTTGAACGGTGTCGTCCCATCTCGGGACCTCAAATCTCGGGACCGAGGGAAAATTTACCTGTTTCTGTGCCATCTCGGGACCGAGTCTACAGGTACAAGTTTAAAAGTGCCATCTGAGGACCTAAGTAAAAGGATTACTTCGCGGTCAGTTTTTACATGTAAGCATTGAAGGAATATTGTATTATTTTGCAAAATTATTAAACAGCGTCTATTTTATGCTACTGCAAAGATATTTTTAAAACTATAATATTTTAAGCGTTAGAAAGTTATATATCTTTCTATTCATTTTATGGATAAACAAACACAAAACATTTAAAAATCAAACCTATGGGGAGGCCAATGGGGCGGGGTCGGTAGGGTTGTGTTGTTGAGTTTGGCTCAATTTTCCTGTGTTTTATCAATATCTATTTTTTACAAGTTTTCTTTACAATTTTTGCTTTTTTTGCATTTTTATTGCATTTTGTTGATTTTTCCTCATTTTGTTTTTTGTTTTGTTGTGCTGTTAATATAAAATAAGTTAAAGTGTCCCGTTAATAACAAAAAGCCGTGCAGCCGCCTTAAGAATTTTGTTCATGACAGGTATAAAAATGTATTACCTTGTATAGGTCCCGAGATGGGACTTTTTAATTTTGGAAACTTTATGGCTTAGGGTCTGGGTCCCAAGTTGGGAAAGGTCCCGAGATGGGAGGTCCCGAGATGGGACTAAGCCGTTTGAACATTTTAAAAGGATATATTATATCCTTTTAAAATGTTCAAACGCCTCTGATAAATTCATCCATAATGCGCGTCGTTGTTTCGAAACTCTAAATTCGTTTTTATCTACAGATACATACTCTCGTTTACCGGCCCACACTATTAATTCCATTAGATTAAAAGAAAATGTAACGAGTTTTTTCGTCTTATTATTCACTGCATGCGTAGCAATTGGTTTTTTGTTCCGCTCATTATACCGTTTTCGTTACCATCTTTTTGCTAGAGTAATTATTAATGTATCAAACTCGCCTTCTATTTTTCTCAGTGGCCATTATGGGGAAGCAAGCAAATATTTGTCTGTAACTTTCAAAATTTATTTTTTATTTGTTTGTTAATTTTATTTTCTGATTCAGCTGTATCGACCACATCAGCCATCGGAAGTAGTTAAAAGCGGATTTCAGGTACAAATTCGATGGTCTGTGTTACCTTTCAGGATTTTGACCACCCTGTAAACGCAATTGAAAATCGTAAAAGATTTTTTAGAACCAATTTTTATGTTTTGGCCTTGGCCAAACGTAGAAACAAATTTAAAACAAATCTGAAATTATCATAAAGAACGTTGTTACGTTTAATTTGCAACCGCCGTATGTCATAATTATGGTCATATTAACAGTGGACGCATAACGCCTACTCTTGCGTATTGAAGTAAAGAACATGTCATTGTCATAACATCGAAACGACAATTTTGTTTTTTTAAAATACCATGGAGCTCTCTGTAAAATACGATGGTAGTTTGTTATAAGTAGGGATGGGATTTTAGTTATTTTGCCTTTTTTCAACCGATGTAACTATTTAAAAACCAATAATGCCAAAATGTGTTTTAAAAGATTTTCTTTTATATGAACCTTACTTGTTTTCACTTTTTTTACCTTTTTTGGAGGTTTTTGCTTTAAACTACCTTTTTCATACTTTTGTTACCTATTTTTTTAACTTGTTTTCACCTTTTTTGGAGGTTTTTGCTTTAAACTACCTTTTTATACTTTTGTTACATATTTTTTAATTTGTCAGTTTATTTTCACCTATTTGTTACCTATTTTTACTTATTTTATTTTTTGTGTTCTTTTTAAATTTTGCGAGAATATTTTATCCGGGGCGTGCAACTCAACGGTATAGAATTTTTTCTTATGGTCACATACTGTAACAGTAACTTTCTTTACAGTTACCTTCTTTGTAGTGAGCTTATGTTCTGTCATAGAACTTCTGTGTAGTGAGTGTCACTCAGTGAAACACAGTTTATTGCATAGAAATACTTGTGGGTATATATGTTCTGTGTTTGGGTATGCGGCTAAAAAAAATTATAAACGGAGCTTGAACTTTTATTGTTTTTTTACCTAAAATTTTGCTTTTTTAGTACCTTTTTAGTTACCTATTTTTCAGTAACTAAATATCCCATCTTTAGTTATAAGTTGGGTTGTAGAAGTTGCATATATTATAATAACGACAATAAAGAGCCTGGAATAAACATTCAAAGGTAAAATAACCTTAATGATGATAACTCGATTTTTAAGGTAATTCATCTATGTATTTTAATTAATGTTAAACCAGTTAAGTAATGTACCTTTGTTGTTTACGATACAATTTAGATAATTTGTCTAATGTAAGACAATCTTAATAATAAAATTAATCAAAAATAACATTTTATTTTCAAAACTAGCAAGGATGATTAAAAAATATCATTTAAAACTTGTTTACTGTTGAAGCAATATTAATTCTTGAAAATATAACTTTATTGAACGAGGTAAAATATTATTGTTTGCTGCAGGCTTAATATTATCCGCCAATAAAATTAGTTTAACTGAAAAGGTAAAAGGGCAAAGTATTTTATGACATTGCATTTAATGTAAACCATTTCACAATAGTAGATGCAACTTCTTTACAATTTCTCGGAAGGCCTAATCTTTCTTTACACGATGCATTAAGTAATTCCTCGCAGAGGCAACACGGAGTAGTTGCACTAAGTTCTAGTCTGTTACAAGCCTTCGAACTAGAATGTATTGAGACAAGACTGCGCACTGTGTTTATTTAAGTCGCGTTTACAATGTCATATGTGTTGTATTTTTATGTTTTCCTTGTGGTTTTTAACCTTGCCACTGGTTATAGTTCAAGTAGGAGAGGTTACGATTCGAAAATTAAATACCCAGATGATGATTACAGGTACGAACAAATATTTTTTTATTAGAAAACATCATTTAAAATATATAATTTTGTTGTTAGACCTATTGGAGTAGATATTCCACCACATTATCAACAGTATAATCATCCTGTTGTGGTACATGATGATTCTGAATACTCTACATATTCTGATAAATATAGTTCTGAAATGAGCCAGGAAGAAAATGAAGTAAGTTATTTAAATATTTTTATTTTAATTAATTATATCTTAAAAGCATTTTTAAATCACCTTTATAAAATAAAACCATGATGTTCTGCTAGATTAAAAAAATTAACACTTCAGGAAAAGGACTAGCTTTGTTTGTTATCCAAATAATCAATAGGCCAATGTAAAAAAAAATCCAAAAAATTAAACAAAAGTAATTTACAAATATGGGGTTAGGAAATAATTTTGATTAAGGCTTAAACAATTTTGAAAAATGCATTTAAACAGAATATTTTCTTATATCTATTAAAAACAGTCGTTTGGGCCATTATATTTACTTTAAAACTAATTAATATTTTTTTATAGTCATACTCAATTAATATAAATTATTGTAGGTATTTTACGATAACTATAAACGTCATTGGGAATTTTAATTCTATAATTTATTTTATCTATTGTCTTAAAATGTAATTTATTTTTAAATATTATTTGATTACACAAATTTTCGTAATAATAATAATAAATTTAAAATTATGTAGGTATTGTTTTAAAAAATTCTAAAAAAAAAAATAATACTTTGCAAGTGTAATTAATTTTTAGAATACAAAACGGAATACTGTTTATTTATTATAAACAATCTTGTGGGCCAATGTACTAATGAACTAAAAATTATACCTTAAAATAATTAAGAAAAATATGTAAATAAGGCGATAGTTTGTGATAACAAAATAAACGTCATAGGAAATTTTAATATATTAATTGTATTGAATACTTTCTTGTTAAATTAATAATACTGAATATTATTATTGACTATTAATAGATAACCACAAATACACTGCGTTATTGTGGGTAACCACAATAACGTAAAACTATTAATTAAATTTAGAATTTTTAACATTCTTTTTAAGCTGTGGAAACCTGTATAATAAATAATATATTAATATTATATTATCTTTAAAATGTATAAGCCACGTTAATGAATTTTGGAATCTAAATTAAATCTGTAGGATTTTTCTTCAGGCACTAGTAATAATGCCCTAAAAGTCCCAAGCGAAAACGTACCGGCACGCCAAATAACGAAGGTTAATTTTAGTCCTGTCATAGAGAAAGTCCGATATATCGAAAATTGTTTGTTATAAAAAAAGTATAAAAATAGTCTCATGCAAAATTTTAACAGGACTTTCTCTATGACAGGACTAAAATAAAAATAAAAAATTATAATTTAATAATAAAAAAACAATTGTTTTTCGTTATCTTTAAACTTTTTCCTAAATAGTTGCATAATTAAAGTTTAATCATATAATATCATTAAACAATGCATTTAAATTATTTTAAGAAGGGATCATGTTTGCATTTATTAAATGCATTTTACTTTTAAACTAGCAGCGAGTAGTCTTTTTTAAATCGATAGTGCATACTACTTCGTATATCATTTTTTTAAATTAAGGCGGCTAAAAGAAAAGTAATTCTAAATAATATTATATGTTCGTAAATAAACAAATAATCATTAGTATTTAAAAACAAAAACTTTGTGCAAACAATTTAGAAATACAAAAATTTAAAAATATATAAACGCCCACTATCGCCAAGAGGTGTTTTATATTTATTGAGTATGTAAGTGTACAGAATTAAAATTTAAAAATTGCTACAACGTAAAGTATAAATTTTAGCGTTACAGAGTTCTTTAAGCTATCGAACAAAATTCGCGTAGTCCCCTATTACTGTAGTATGGAATCCTAGAAAATGTGGGGTCCCGTTGAGGAATATTGGGGTGGGAATGTCTTAAAAAATTAAGACCCAGATGCGAAAAATCCTTTTATTAAAGATTTTTTTTTAATTTAATAAGTGTTTATCGGCCGAAATTTTAATAGTATTAATTAAAACTGGTTGTGAACCTCAATTTCAATCGTGTGTAATTGTTGACATTTAATATTTCAAATTTCAGAAATATTCTAATATTCTAAACTGAACCTTGTTAAGAATTGGCAAAAATTACAATGTGGGAAAAATGCTATACATAAATTAAAATCAAAGTAGAATGATTTCAGTAGAACAACATCAATACACAAAAATAGACATGCAAACTCTAACAACACAATTATTTTTTGCGAAGTACTCAGGGTTCAGTATGCGCGAAGTACCCATGTTTTTGTGTGCCAACTACTTATTAAAAGGCCTAAAACAAGTAAGTGGGCTCTCCTTTCTAAAGGTGAGATGTCAGAAGACGCTTTAGAAGCACACAAAAATTTCGAGAATATTTTTCACGAAACAACTCTTAAAAAGCGACGATGGAGGACTTCTTTAATCGCCTTCTCATTCACCCTTAAGGGTTCAGCATGTACCGAAAATAAGCTAAAACCAGTAAAAGTTTGTCAAAGTTGTTTTAAAAAAAGGCCGTCATTTTGCTTGAGACTTTTGAGACAGTATTACCAGACTACTTATACTAGTTCAAGGCTTCAAATAAAATTCTTACATAAAATAGGATTTTATTTCGAAGAAAAAACCCAATTTGGATGGGCTAACGTACTAAATTAATTTTTTAAATACTTAAAACTAGTGATGCCGCGAGACGAGACGAGACGAGAAAAGTCCTTCTCTCGTCTCGTCTCGGGCAGCGAGAGAAAATGGGTCTCTCGTCTCGTCGAGAATACTCTTTTCTCGCTCGAGAGTGCCTTCCTCTCGTCTCGTCTCGTTTCTCTCGTGGTAAAAGTACCTAAGTATGAATACAAAAATTATTTGGAATGAAATACGAATTCGTTTATATTTTTTTATATAGAAATTTAAACTGGAAATAAAAAAAAATGGTGTGCCAAGACCACACTAATAAAGTAAGACTTTTTACGCCGAAAATGTTGGGCATTTGAATCAAATGGTTATGGATCTATGTGGAGTAGTTACATCTAGTATTATACACCTATAATAATTATAATAATTATTAAGGACATTTTTCTCTGAAATGCGTATTTCACGAGATATTGAGCTGTCTCAAGTTAAAAGAAACACCTATTATAATTATTATAATAGGTGTTTCTTTTAACTTGAGACAGCTCAATATCTCGTGAAATACGCATTTCGGAGAAAAATGTCCTTGATAAAAGGTTAATGTAACCAAAGGGGACATTATTTGGTGCTACCGCTAGCCACCCCCTACCCCTCCTTAAGGGTGAAACAGGGGGTAACTTTAGAAAGTCAAATGGAATGACCCGATTTTTTCACAGATTTTGGTAGAACATAAAAAAATTAATAACTTTTATTTAAAACTTTTTTTAATTTATCAACAGATGGCGCTGTAATTCAAAATTTAAGTAAATTGGGTTTCCTTGTAAAATGTTTTATTTGAAACGTTTAAAAAACAAAAATTAACATTAAATCAACAATAGTCGGCTCTGAAAACAATTTATAACAAATGTTCAAAATGTCATCCTTTCATTTCGACACATTTTTGAATGCGGGTAACAGGGTTGCCAACCGTACTAGAATTATAGTATTTCTACTATAATTTTATGTCGGTGTACTATGTACTATAGCAAAGTATTATAGTACGTTAAAATACTATAATTTTGAATAATAGTATTATTATTATAATACCCACTTCTTAAAAAAATCTATAATTTTTAAAAAAGAAAACTGTAGAATTTATGAAAAAGAAAACTGCAAAATTTGTATTTTCGCGCCCTCTTTTATGCAAAAGCAAAACTAGCCACATGAAATACCGTGGTGCGCATTAGTGCGGCGCGTGCATTTATTCTCTTATTTAACTGTTATAACAGAAAAAGATTTTTATAGGTTATACGTGTAAATACAGTGTGTACATTTTATGATTAAGGGTATGTACTTACCTACAGAATACATTTTCAATTGCATACAAAGTTTGTAAACTTTTTTTTTTTTTTTTTTTTAAGTTATTGTCACAACAAACGTTTTTTAAAAATATATCGCGTGTGTACCACGTCTTACGGGGTTTAGGATAAAGGAATTGCAAAAACGATTCATAGTGTCTTGAATTAATCGGTTAGAAAGACGATTATGAGCACCATAAAACTCACGAAATGCCCTATGTGTTTCCCCAATTTAACCGTTTTTTTTTCAAAATAAATTTTTTCAAATTAAATTTGCCAAACCAACCTAACTCAAATCGGATGTCACAGAAAACAGTGTTGCCAATTTAAAGTTGTCCAATTTTTAAAAAAACACCCTTTAATATAATAAAAAACCTGTCTTTATTCTAACTTCTTGTAGCCTATTGGTAAAAAAAGGGGGAAAAATGTGGGCTCCTGATTCTCAAAAACCTATACGTCATCTGTACTATAATTTTTCTAAAAAATACTATAATTAAATTGAGAAAATACTATAATGTGCATCTCAAGAGTTGGCAACCCTGGCGGGTAATGAATTCTGGCTCCACCATGTCCTCCCGAGTTGTAGTTGCAGCGTAACCCCACAGAAAGAAGTCTGGCAGATCGTTTTCTAGAAAATTGCGGTAATTTTCACCATTTAATGCCGTTTGCCAAAGGTACCTCACCAAACGTTGGTGCTCCACTTGGTGTCGAAATGGAAGGACGACATTTCGAAAATTTTTTATAAATTTTTTCAGAGCCGAGTATTGTTGATTTAATGTTAATTTTTGTTTTTCAAACGTTTCAAATAATACATTTTACACGGAAACCCATTTTTCTTAAATTTTGAATTACAGCGCCATCTGTTGATAAATTGAAAAAAGTTTTAAATAAAAGTTATTAATTTTTTTATGTACTACCAAAATCTGTAAAAAAAGGGATATCCCATTTGACTCTCCAGTTACCCCCCGTTTCACCCTTATGGAGGGGTAGGGGGTGGCTAGCTGTAGCACCAAATAATGTCCCCTTTGGTCACATTAACCTTTTATTTAAAACATTTTTCCGTGAAATGCGTATTTCTCGAGATATTGAGCTGTCTCAAGTTAAAAGAAACAGCCTGTATCGGCGCAGTAGTTTTCACGGACATGCGCAGTAGGTACAAGATGTTTGGATCTATGTGGAGTAGAT